TATATTTATAAAAAAAACAAATGTGAATTATTTTTGTCCTCTATAATTTTGATAAATTATTTAATTATAATAATGAGTCTAATATGTAAGCATAAATTGCAGAAAAACATAAAAAATACTTGTAATATTATCAGTTATTTTAAGGAAATTTACTATATATATCTTCCTACGATGGAAACTGTTATTCTGAGATTTATTTCAATTGTGACTTGCAATCTTTGTAACATTAATATCAACAAATTACATTTTTTCTGATTTTAATAAATTTTAGTTTTAAAAACATGCATTTCTACGTTTAAAAATATATCAGATATAGATTATTTATACAAATTATGTATAATTAAAAAAAGATTAAAAGTTGAGAAATCCATTAGTTTTCTGTAAGTATTTATAAAATATTGCGGGTAAATAAAATTTTATTAGTACTGCATTAAACATATCATTTCTTCCCTTAATTGCAATTATAATAATAATTAATATATGTTTTATTAATATATGTTTTATTATTTAAAAATATTTACTCTCTAAATTTTTACTGTTTTTCGTACATCTTTCTCCTTTATGAAAATTAACCATGATGGAAAGGATAACATGAGGTGTGGAGTGTCTCTTTCTAAATCTCTGCCCTCTTCGAACTGTTCATAAGGTTCAAAGGCTACAACTATGAAATACAAAACATGGGGGGATATTCATGTTCGTTTTTATTTTAAAATCGTCTTAAATAATGTCTTAAGATACTAATCATTCTCAGATTGACATATGACATCTTAAGATTGTACTTAAGACAGTCTTAAATGCAAGAATCGACTATGAATACCGATTGCTTCGTGAAGTTGGTATTGAATCTTTTCTTGTGCTTATTTTAAACGCAGAAGAGGGAGATAGAGGAGACATTTTGATTAAATTGATTAAACATTCTTTGGCATTTCTGCGAATTGATCGTAGATTAATTTAAGTTTCAGAAGTTATAAGAGTCCCTACCTGCAATAGGTAAATTTGACAAGTAGTGTCATTAGTAGTGTCATTAGTGTAATAGAATTTTAGAATCATTTGCTCACCATTTCCATAGAGGAAATCCTGCCTCTCCTAGCAACTGATAATTCTTTTTGTAGTTTGCTTGATCATAACTACCTGTTAATAATTATCCATGTAGAAATCCATGTTAGTAGTTATCCATGTGGAGTAAAGCTTGAGCTACTTTTCGCGTACTTGTTTCTTGCTATTAAATGTCTTAAATAATTGCTAAATATGGTACATGTGTAGCACCATAAATGCCCGCACAGCACCTTTCATGCAAATTTATTGCAAATATATATTTAATACATAATTAACGCAATGGTATGAAATATTCAAATCGAAATACGTATTTAATACGTATGTAATATGTAACAGGTATATATATTATATATTTAAATATATGGATATTAAACATGTAGTTGATACACACACACACACACACGCGCGCGCGCGCACGCACACACACACACACACACACACACACATGTATTAATTACATATTTAATATATATATATATATCAGAATGTAATATGTCATAAAATGGCGTACCATAGTAGCACCATATAACATTTAAAAATTCATAAACGGATAGTTTTTGTTAATAATATTACTCGAGTTTAATTAATAATTCAGTTTGAGTAAAGTTACTAAATAAAGATTAATAAGAGTGCAAGAAAGGAAAAATGAAAACATTAGAGTTCTTGAAAATCGTTTTTCTTTTCTTGAGATGGATTGAATTTTATTTTCTCTCCTTTTGGATAGTGGCATCTCTAGTGAACTCACCTTTTGTGATTAGTTATTAAGAAACATCATGTAGAATATACTCCATAAACAAGATATTTTCATTGATGGTATATTTCCTTGATGTTCGTCTTAATCTATAAATTGGCCAGAATGAATTTAAGTGTTCATGTTATAAATAATCAAAATAGAATTGTAATGTTTCTTATAAACATTAATTGAATACAATTTTTTTTAAGAATAATGCATTGGATTGGATATTATCGATATGGATATTATAAAATAAATCTACAATTTTTCAATCTTAAAAAATCTTCTTGATAATAATGATTAGATTGTGTAACGATTATATATAAATATTCAATAATTTTGAGCAAATGTCTGTGTGCGTGGTTATTATAATCGAATGTATTTAAGAATAATAAATTAATAATAATAAATTAAAGTATCATATTAGATCGCGACATGAATACATAACAGTTAAGAAATACAGGCTCATTTCAGTTAAGCTTGAATTTTTCGTGCTGATTGAAACAATTCGTAAAATAAATTTAGGTTAAACAGTCAAAAATAATATAATTAAATAAAATCAAAGATAAGTTCCCTGGCGGAAACAAAATTTAATAAAAAAGAGTACAGAAAAACTACATTGAGATAAGATTTTTCATTTCGTAACACCAGAGAGAAACCTGAGAGGGACCATGGCGATCTTTTTCGTGTAACAGGCGAAAGTCATCGTACGCTAGCAGCATCAATATCAATTTTATAAATAATATAAACTACGTATCACATTTTCGCCACTGTCGATAAAATCATAGTGTCGATAAATGGATTTGGTGCCACATTCACAAACTGTGAATAAAAATAATATTCACAAAAAAATTTACAAAAAAATGTTTCTTTTAATCAGATAAGGTGTTTTTTATAGATTTCTGGATGCTGAAAACAATGCCGCAAGTTAAATTTTACTAGCACGTCAGATTTTAATGAGATTTATGTTATTTTCCAGACAAAAATAAGCGACACGTATTTTTTTATACGTGCTCATACGCACTTTTAAAGGGTGAAACACTCCTTGGAAAAAAATGATTTTTCTCTTTTGTTGCGAATATCATTCTCTTTCGAAGCGAATGTTGCTGGAACTGAGATAGAAAAAAAATTTTCAGAAAATAGAATGGCGTCATATAATAAAGCAAGCGGAAAGGTATCGCGACGATCAGCATACGCTTTGCTCTAATTAATTACATCGCTTAACATATCTATAATTGTATTAAAATGTATTTAATCGTGCTAAATAATGTGATTTATAATGATAAGAAAAACTTCACTAAAATAACATTTTTAGTGTAGGCGCGATGCGGCGAAACACATAGGATCGCCATGCCAAACTGTGCTAGGCAACGAAGCGCTACTTCCCTTTCCCTGCGCGCCGCCGCTGCCGCCGCTCGAGTGTGGGCCATCCTACGAATTCACGTGGTGCGGCTTAATCGCATATTGGCTTAGACATTTCCTTTTCTAATTCGAAAACTACAGTGAATATCTCAAAATAATATAAGAATTTTTTGTTCCTTTTGATCCATTCTCCGCCCCTATGTGGGTCCGACCCATCTTAAGATACACACACACACACA